ATTTTGATTTTTAATCTAACGAAACGCCTTGTTACCAGTAAAAAGGGTCTCCAGTTCTTTTTACTTACCATAATAAGACACAAAGCAGCATTATGTTGTCCTGCTATTTTACGCTGCTATTTTGAGGTAGCGTGGCGCTAAACAGGTCAAGCTAACCCAATGTAGCTATAACAAGCCACAGCATGGCTCTACCTCCTAACAATGTGGGAATGTGTTTATAATATAAAGGTTGGTACTACGTCATATACTAAAATATGTAAATGATACCGGCAACTCTATATAGCATTTTATTATTTTAAAAAAATCCATCAAATTCATTCTGTAGTTTAACCACTGGATATTTATTATGATTCAATCATTTTTACACATGATGAATAAACATCATTTATCACGAGGCGAAGTTAGTGCGAGTTAGTTAGAGCGATAGTGGTCAATAAACTTTCCCGTCAAACTAAATTGATCGAACGAACATCAAACGAAAATCGAGGTACAACATCGATATGGTCGCCATATCGATGTTGTACCTCGATTTTCGTTTGTTCGTATAAATCCCACCGGTTTTGCTAACACAGATGAAAAAACTCCTAAATCATATTGTAGCGAGTAGGCAAGTAAACTCGCACAATCTAAGCGCTCCACATCGAACGAACCATGACGTCACAAGTGGCGTGATCTAAGAATCTAAGCGGCCCACATCGTACGATCGTGACGTCACAAGTGGCGTGATCTATGACGATTACTTATCGCGCGATGCAACGCTATGCACTACCCATCGGTGCGCTCGAGCCCGCCTTCGCAAGATGGCCGCACCAATTGTTCGTACGGTGCACGACGAGGACAAGTGACTACGCACCGTTCACACAATCCATTGTTTACGTTAGGCAGCCATAATTTTTGTATCCCTACTTCATTTAGATGGCGCGTTAAGTGGGAGCGTAATCTTATTATATATAAGGCAATATAATATTATTTGTAATGCTCATAATTTTGTCAAACTCAAGTAAATAGTTCGTCATCACATCGTTCGTTATAATACCTCTGCCATACTAGTCAGTACAATCCCTAACTTCGGTAGGACCCGGGTACGATTCCCCGGTTGAACATTGAAGCACGTAAACGATCCTGTTGTACCCAACCAGGTCGTTTCAATATATATTTATCTCAAAATTTTGCATTAATAATTCTCTTTCCCTTTCGAATTTAACACATTCCATTAATAAAAGATGAATGTCATTAATATACTTCACTGTTAGGTGAATCAGCTTTCAGTATCAAGCGGGCAAGCTTTTTGAAAGGAAAATGTCCTGAGCGTAATCTAATCACAATTTTAATATATTACTGTTTTTTACTTGTAACATGTATTGTAACTGTTTTAAACTCTATGCTAAAACTACTTTAATGCAGTTGCAAGATTTGACCTCAACAAACAAACATTACAAGTAATAAAAGCTTTTAAAAACTAAGATAGTCTTTTTCCCTGGTTCCTTTGTCGCAATATTCTTTGAACATATAAACACTTACTTGTTCTGATACAATCGTATCTGCGGCGTTACGTTATTTTCTAGATCATACTGTACGTCCAGTTTTTGTTTCTTCAGCGTCTCTATAGCCGCGTTAGTCTTCGCTATTGGTTTGTGTAACTCGGCTAGTTCCATTTTCACTTGAGTTTCTGCAAACAATATAATATTTCATGGCTCGGTAACTCAATGACAAATGTTTCTAAAACCTACAAATAATTGTTTCTTGTCTGTATGTTGGTCCAATTATAATTCATGTTTGTTAATAGCTTTCACGATACCGGAGTAATCCTTAAGTTTTATTTAAAGTAAATAAAGGGCATTAAAATGTTTTATTTTTAGAATAATGTATTAGAAATCACTCTCTATAAATACAAGTTTCAATGAAAGATAGTACAAACAAGACGCAACTGAATGAGCATAAGAATAAAGTCCTTTTTTGTTTGGGATTATAGTTGCTAATAATTGTTCTTGAATTTTCGCATTACTTAATATGATTTCTATGTAAGAAATGATTTGTACCTAGTAGAGCCGTGCTACAGCTATATTATTTGTATAATTGTAACACGAATGGGTCGGCTCGACTGGGGAAGGACCACGCTCTCACAGACAACCAGCGTAAAATAGCAAATTAACAATGCTTGTGTTTCGTATGGTGAGTGTAGAGAACTGGAGATAGTTTTTACTTGAAAAGAGGCATTTCATCTTGGTCCTCACGGCTGACAACGCTACTGCATTTTGATTCGCAAACGAGGATAGATGTAGATGTATATGGGCCACAGCAACCACTTACGAACGAGCATGCAATCTACCTGATGCATGCTCGCTTGTTATCTTTATCCTATAAAAAAATCCATACTGTCTGTACAAAAACAAGTGCAAAATGATTATGAGGTACCTATAATCGATAATAAAGCAATACGGTGGTCCAACTTACAACTTCAGTCTCTCATTACTATCGTTACCACTACAGCCCATTACAAGTCCTGGACATAGGTCTCCCTAAGGAATGCCATAAAGCACGGTTCTAGATCACCTATATTATCCACTTCCTGAATCTCTTACCAGGTCGTCACTCCATCTAGTGGGGGCCGCTTTACAATTCGCTTACCGTAGTCATAGGGGTGTTTGTGATAGTTGCCACGCTTGGCAGGCGGGTTGGCAACCGCAGTTACACATCGCTTCTTTCATTTTCTTCCGTCGCCTCTTACGATACGCACGGGGCGGCACGGGTTAAGTGATTCTCTTATGCCGTCAATACGCGATTACGGCACTAACAGCATATAATATATGAGATGTGATATGTATCCAAACCGCGCGACAGCAGTGTCAAAATTATGAGTACTTTTATTGTGAACTTCAATAAACCTGCCAAGCATCGTAATTATTGCAAATCCTCTGATGAGGCCCATATACAGGATTAGACTGTTGCATAATTTTTTTATATTATAAGGGTAACAAACGAGCACACAGTCCACCTGATGGTGTACTGCTGTGGCCCATAGACATCTACATCTATCGTCTACGAATCAAAATGCAGATGCGTTGTCACCCTTGAGGAGAAAGTATTTAGATTCATATTTCTTTATCCAACTTTAGATTAGGAGAAAGTCAAAAATAAAATGATAGTCTATATCACGAAGATATTAAACCGGCCAAGTGCGAGTCGGACTCGCGCATGAAGGGTTCTCATTCATTCATTCTCTAAACCATTTCCCATTATCTGGGGTCGGCGCAGTAAATCTTTTTGTTCCATTCCTCTCTATCAGCCGTCATTTCCATACTTACTCCTTTCATTCTCATATCACTCTTCACACAATCGATCCATCTTTTATTCGGCCTTCCTCTGCCCGTGTGTCCCTCCACATTCATATTCAACACTCGTTTTGTGACATGACTTTCATTCCTCCGCATCACATGCCCAAACTATGCCAATCTGCTTCCTCTCACCTTTTCTACCACTGGCGCTACTTTCAGGCTTCCTCTTATATACTCATTCCTTATCTTATCCATCCTTGTCACACCACACATCCATCGTAACATTCTCATTTCATTCGCATGCAGTCTATTTTCATCCTTCTTCTTGACGGCCCTGCATTCACTTCCATACATGACGACAGGTCGGATGATCGATTTGTAAATTTTCCCCTTCAGCCTTATTGGCATTCGGGGATCGCACGTTGTGGCTGTGACCTGTCGCCATTTCATCCACCCTGCGTTAATCCTATGCTGCACAGCTCTATCTATTCCGCCGTCGCCTTGAATGAGGGAACCGAGGTACTTGACATCTGAGCAGATAGGCAGTATAGCGCCATCCAACGACATGGGTACAGGACTGGAAAGACCGCCGAAATCACAGCACAGATATTCGGTTTTGGATCTGCTGATCTTCAGGCCAACACTTTCCAGCCTCCGTTGCCACCCCGTCAGTCTGCTCTGTACCTCGATGCCTTCTTCCCCGACAAGCACGATGTCATCGGCAAAGAGCATGCACCAGGGTGCCTCATCCTGCAGGTCCGACGTCAAAGCGTCCATAATCAGTAGGAAGAGGTAAGGGCTCAGTGCCGACCCTTGGTGCAGCCCTACCGCCACATCGATACTGCCCGTAGTTCCCGCGGCAGATCGTACACATGTACGGGATGCTCTGTACATAGCACGGACCAACCTCACATACTTCCCAGGCATACCTTTCATCTTTAACGCCCACCACAAGACCTCACGGGGAACCCGATCGTACGCCTTTTCAAGGTCGACAAAAACCATGTGCAGATCTTTATGCACGCGCTTGTACTTTTCGCACAATTGGCGTAATGCGAAAATGGCATCTGTCGTACCTCGACCGGGCATGAATCCGAACTGGTTTTGTGTTATCTCACACTCTTCTCTCATTCTTCTCTCTATTATTCTTTCCCAGACTTTCATCGTATGTGACATGAGCTTTATTCCCCGGTAACTGCTGCAGTTTTGAACGTCTCCTTTGTTTTTAAAAATGGGAACCAGTATACTACTGCACCATTCCTCAGGTATTTGTTCTTCCTGCAACAATTTACCGAAAAATAAACTCAACCACTTCCATCCATCCGCCCTCAGCAACTTCCACACTTCTACTGGTATTCCATCTGGGCCGACCGCCTTCCCATTCTTCATATTCCTAACAGCCATTTTTACTTCTTCCACACTAATTTCTCTCACTAAGCCCATATTCACTGGTGGGTTTTCAAGCATACCATTCCATTCATTCTCCTCATTCATCAATTTCTCAAAATACTCCTTCCATCGCTTCTTTATACTTTCATCGTCAGTCAAAATCCTTCCAGAATCATCTTTTATACATTTTACATGTGAAACATCTCTTCCATTCCTTTCTCTCGCTCTTGCAATTTGAAAAAGTCGTTTTTGACCTTCGGGGCTTTCAAGGGACCGATATAATTTATCGTGCGCCTCTGCCCTACAAATAGCAACTTCCTTCTTCGCTCTCTTCTTACATTCTTTATACGCCCCTCTCTTACTTTCTTTTATGGATTCATTCTGGTCTTCTACGCTCTGCCATTCTTTAAAGGCATTTTTCTTTTCTCTCAAAACTTCTCTAATACTTTCACTCCACCACCACCCATCCTTATCTATCGTACGCTTCCCTTTTGTTTCTCCTAACACCTTCCTTGCCACACTTCGGATACAATCAGCCATTTCCTTCCAGCACTCATTCACACTCATTCCTTCCATATCACCCATCTCTATCATCTTGTTTACAACTAGCTCTCTAAATTCACTTGCATACCCCTCCTTATGCAACAAATGCCACTTTATTTTGGGTGGGGGACGATCCTTATGTTTGTTGAGGCGAACAGTTAAGCAGATGTCAGCCAGCAGAATTCGGTGCTGGGATACTAAGTCTTCACCTGGAAGCACTTTGCAGTTTTTTACACTCTTGATTTGGTTCCGTCTTATCAGAAGATAGTCGATCTGTGTCGCGTGGTGGCCACTTTTATAAGTAACAAGATGCTGATCTCGTTTTTGGAACCACGTGTTTACTACAGCCAGGTCGAAAGCACATGCTGCTTGCAGAAGAACTTCCCCCTCACGGTTCCGCACTCCGTACCCCCATCCACCGTGTACTCTTTCATACCCGTCATTCACTCTCCCTACATGTCCATTAAAATCTCCTCCCATATAAACATCCTCACGCTCAGGTATTCCCATCATCATACAATCAAATTCCTCCCAAAACTTCTCTTTCACACTCTCTTCACAGCCTGTTTGCGGAGCATACACACTTACAACATTCACTACTTTGTTTTCAATCATTAATTTAACAACTATCATTCTGTCATTTACTCTTTTCACATCTGTCACTCGTTCTTTCATTCCACTATCTAACACAACTCCTACTCCATTTCGCTTCCCATCACTTCCACAATAAAACTTGTATCCCTCCCCAATCTCTCTTGCTTTATTGCCCTTCCATTTTGTTTCCTGCAAACAGGCAACATTCACTCTTCGTCGTTTCAAAACATCTGCTAACTCTCTTCCTCTTCCAGTCATCGTACCTATATTCCAGCTTGCAAACCTCACTCTGACATTCTTCTCTCTCCGGGCTCGCCTCTTACGTCGCACCCGCTCCGTAAGGTGCGACAACCCTTGCCCACTTCCCACAGGAGCCGGGTGCTGCCCCTGCGCGTCGCCTGCGGGGTACGCCCTAGCCCTGTCATATGTCCCACAACTCGTACTATTCATTTACTGCATGGGATTTGGCAAAAGTTTTACAGTCAGCCGCCTGCCTGACACCAACCCTCTTTGGGTATGCTATTGCTGGTAGAGGAAGCTACCATTTTGGGAAAAGGAAAAAGAAGTTTGGGGGTAGGAGCATAGGTGTAAGGATACTGTTATCTCGGCAGGAAAGGTATGAGAATAACAGTAGCTCGGGGAGCCGGGGTCGCGTACCCGTATTCCATACCAGGATTACCGGAAAGGTAGACCAGCATGAGAACCCCCTGCGCATGAAGGGTTCTATACCATCGTAAAACACTTTTCTAGTAGGGTCCCCTTTAACTTTTAATTTATTTTTATTTTTATTATTTGTTGTTACAGAGGCAACAGAAATAAACATTCTGTGAAAATTTGAACTGTCTCTACCTATTATGTATTATGAGATACAGCCCGCTGACAGACAGACTGACAGACAGCAGAGGCTTAGTAACAGGGTCCCATTGGTTACCTTTGGGTACGGAATCCTAAAAAAGGACAAAATATTAAGACTTAAATAAGTATATTACCATCTCCTACAGTCTCAACTAAGCGAGTCTTGTCGGTGATTAATTTTTCCAACTTAACTTTAGCTTCAATCAATTCTTTTTCTCTGTTTCTGTGCCGTTCTAACTTTTCTTGTAGCGACGCTTCTATATCTTTTAGCAGATATTCCTGCTGACGAGCAGTGTTTATTGTTTCCTTTATGTTGTCTTTAAGTGTGTGGATTTCTCTATTCTGAAAGTTATATTCATAAAAGTAAAATAGGCCAGATAAAGTATGACAATTATTAAAGAAAAACATAGCCCGCAAAAATAAATGTCTCGATCTCGTTGTGTCAATAAGTTTACCTAAAAATAAAAGATTTGAGACGAAAATGTATGGTGGTTAAAAACTTTCTTTGAACTTTTCCAAAAGCTTCACTATATTTTGCGTTGATGGGATCCCATATAACACAAGCATATTCTCATTGAGGCTTAACAAAGGCAAGGTAAGCAGCAACATATAATAGGTTAAAGCCTTTTTCAATTTATTTGATTGTCTCATAACATGATGATAATTTTTACTAAATGTAAATTGAAGTAGAATTTTTGATTCAAAACTACATCATGATTTCGAACGAAAGTATAGTTCAATTTAACCACTTTACAAATGTATAGTACGATGTTTTTTGTAATAGATATCCACATATCTATACCTAATTGAAGTATATTTTTCAGGCAAATCATTTCATATCAAAATTACTAAGATCTTCTTAACTCAATCAACTACATGTATTATAGGTTTACAAGCCTTTACATTGTCGACATATAACAAATATTTAGAGTGATCATTCATTTATGTCGTTTACAAAGAGGACAAAAAACAATGGACCAAGGATAGATCCTTGTAGAACACTAGATTTTAACATTATTGTTTTGGAGCAGTAGCCATTTAAAACAATTATCTGATGATTACTGCCTCGTTAGTCGACCACTAGTAGTCGACGATGACGAAGAGTCATCATTGAACTGGACAGATTTCTTTATGTACTAATTATTTACAAAGCACAAAAATTTAAATTGAATGGGAATTTTTAGCCGACTTAAAAAGGACACTGTCATAGTACCGATTTTGTATTTTCTACCCTGATTTATTTATTATATGGGACCACCTTATATTATAAAAATCGCTTTATAGTTGATGAAAATATCGCGTGAAATTTATACAAAAAAAAAAATACATTTTACAAAGACAGTTTACAATTGAATTGTAAACTTCTTCCGAAGATTCTTTCGCCGTTCTTGTACTGTGAGAGGAAACTCATTTTGAAACGGTAGGTAAAAAAAAATTAACGTTTGATAAATAATTTTTTTTTAATTTTGTTTTTTATATCACATGTATATTGTTAAATGTTATTTCAAAAAATAATAATAATTTTCAATACAATCACTGCTAATTAGATTATATTGATAGAAACCGGAACATCATTACATCTTCCATGTAAGGCCCGTAAGTGCGAGCGAGAGCTCAATATCACTGATTTTGCGTCCGCGTTTTGTGGCCGCGACTGCCATGAACACATAAAAATAACTACCTATAAATAAATTATAAATTCCGCTCTATGAATAAAATAAATAACTTTATATTATCGTATTACACTAGCGATCCGCCCCGGCTTCGCACGGGTGATTTCTGGATCTCGACAACAGCGCCACCTACCGGGTTCAATTGTGAATCTGAACCATCCACTCAAACACACACATTTTTGTAAGATTAACACATGGCAATTGATTTTTTTTATTATAGAAGAGAGATATACATACGGCTGACAATTTTTCCTGTTCCAACTTGCTTATACCAACTTTAGCCTTTTCAATTATTTTCTCCAGTGGCTCCATTCGACTTTTATGGGAGTTCACCAATTTAGCAGCTTCTTTCTTATCATTTGCATACTCTACAACTTTTTCTCGTAGGTCCTGATATTCTATCCAAAGTTTCTTTTTCTCGCATATTTCAATTTCTTTTTCAATCGCCTTTCGTTGATTCATACCGTCAATCACAATTTTTAATCTGTAAACAACAGTTAATTCCTTACTACTTTCATCTTACTGACCAAATCTAATCACGTGTAGGACTTTAAGAAACACTATATTATGAAGTTGTTTTATATTAAAAAATAATGCAAATGGACAAACATCTTGACCTGAGACAAATGCTTTTTCCATTGTGAGGATTTTGCTACAATTATTTTCTGTTTTTTTTTTTTAACAACCCCCACAACAACCCAGTCTGAAGGGTATAGAACCATTATACCATATAATTACAGGCTTCAAGACATTTAATCTTAATACTCAAATAATGCATCTGTTGCCTCCTTTTTTGTTTCAACTTGGTTACAGGTATCCACGACCTGCACTACCTACTTACAATCTGGTGGACTGACTGCTCATTTGTCACTTTAGTTTAATTATTTAAAAAAACTGGCAGATTTCACGAGATGACATACTACTATGGCAGGAAATTAAGCCTTTCAGCTTTCCCTCTTTCACCTCTTATGTTACCCACGGTACAAACTTATGCACTAGCTGACATATATGATATTTAAATTTTCTAATTATATGAAGATTGGTTTTTGGCACTTTATGAAAACATTAGACTCATGGGGGAGGATTCGCGATTTTATTCCATTCAATAAGATTTACAGAAACAGAAACTTTTTTATTCAATATAGATTATAAATAATACTTATTGAAAGTCACTCTTTTGTTTGATTACCACTGGTTCGGAAAAAACCTCTATCCTGGGAAGAACCAGCAAGAAACCCAGCGGAACTTTTTTTTTTTAAATAGCTTACAATCATGATGTTACACAAATTAACAACACAACAAATTAGAAATAGCTTGGTAGCGATCACCTCATTTCCAGGAGTTATTATCATCCATAAATTCCTTAATATTATAATAACCCTTTTTATACAAACTTAGTTTAATAAAGTTTATGAACTTTGAGCAGATCAAACTTTATATATTTTCTGGAATTTTGTTGTAAAAGCGTATACATCGCCCCAAGAATGACTCGATGGAGTCGAGTATCTGGTACTACTAGCTTACCTTTCATTAAGTCTTATTTGTTCCTGTAATAGCTGGGCATTATTCTGTAACTTAGTTGACAAACCCCTCTGCTTATTTCGACTTTCAATCAATTCGTCTAATTGTGAGACACTCTGTTGCCCACCAACTGCAGATAAAGTACTACGAAGTAGCTGTTGTGGATCCATTTTGGAGAAGTCCTGCACCCGATCTTGCGGAAGAAGCTGGCACAGATTGTCTACCTGTGTGACATTTTTTATACTGTATTAGGTATTACAGAAGATAATTTAAAAGGAATACATATTTGTGCCATTTCCTGTAGAAACTATCGGTCCGTGGGGTCCACGTGCGTTGAAGTTCCTAAAGGAATTCCATACGCGGCTGGTCGTTGCTGCTGGTGATAAGAGGGCTAGTTCTTTTCTCGCTCAAAGGCTAAGTATAGCCATTCAGCGGGGAAACGCAGCCAGCGTTCTTGGCATGATACCGCGGGGAGTAGGACTGTATGATAATTGAGTTACTAGTTTTAGTTTTTTTTATTATAGTTATTAACTTTTACTTGCATCCTAATATTTAAAATTAAAAATTTTGTTCAACAGACTTCAATGACAATTACTAAGAATAACTCCAAAACTATTGGTCAGACCTTGATCAAATTTATATAGGACCACATGAGAGGCACCAGCTTTCAAATAAAAAAAGATGATGCTGTACCTCAAGGGTAGTCCCATTAAATTTTGAAAAAAGAAATCGGCGCCCAAGTGTGGAAAATAGGGGAATAAGTTTCATATTGGACTATTATTAAAGGAATTTAATATGATATCTTCACAGATTAGGAATTGATTTAAATTATTCTTTTTTTATTAAATAGGCTATACTTCACAGTTGATCCTGTATAAATTTGGAGAAAAAATTCCACACCTAAGGGAAGCAAATAAATAACTTTCTTTTTAGCAATTTGAAGTCGGTTTTTACTTTTTGTTAAAAGTTATAACCTAGTATATTGTATTATAAGTATTAGTAGAAATCAAAAAGTCACTACTGTAGCCAGATGGCTTAGGACCATGCTTTGTGGCATTTCTAGGGAGACGCCTAAGTTCAGCAGGGGCTTTTGATGGGCTGTCATAATGATGATGAATAGACAAGCAGCTAATAGCTGATATACCTATAATGGATTGTTTTTGCACCAAACTGTAAACGCCTACTAAAAATAAATCATGTTATGGATAAAAATTATGATTTTAAGAATGCTTATTCTAGAAAAGTTAATGAAAAATGGTTGGATGTTATGGCTTCATTAATGAAGTCAATTGTAGATTTTAATATTGGCATGTCTCAAAAAATAAATTTTAATTGTATGTCAACAATATTATTAATTTATATAATACAAGCTGGTTTGGGAGATTTAGTTATACACTATAAAAGGTGATGTGATGCGTTTCACTCCAAACTCACTCTGTACATTTTACAGTGTAAAAGAAAAATTTATACAGGGTTATTTTTCAAAGAGAAGCCAAATTTTAAACTTAAGTTCAAACATATAAATAATGATATAATATTATTGCAGTTTTTGAAAATACGAGTAAATAAGGCTTCTACTTTTATTTTAAATTATCCCGAATTGAATTTGATTTATGGGCAACAAATACGCATACGCGCGCTTCTCTGTGCAATTTAATTCACAACGTTTTTGCCTACCAAACGACCCTTACGAATGTGTGCGTGTGCAGTAAAATCTGTTAAAATAATGCATTACCACCCATTTTGAATTTAGAAGATAAAAAGGACAGAATGTATGAGATTTTATTTAATTAATTTTTCTTTACCATTTGCCTATATTACTTATTCTGAACCTTCTCTGCAAATTTGACCAGTTATTGCAAAATAGCCCTGTATACCACAGATCGACCACAGGTGCCACTTAACCGGTTTATTTTACAACTTATATTTTTAAATTCTATTATATCTATTGCATGCAGTCTATAAAAGTCCACTGCTGAGCACAGGCCTCTCCTATAGATTGCCTTGGGGGATTTTGCCATAGCTGCCACGCTTGGCAAACGGATTGGTAACCGCAGTTTTTTTACTCTTTTATTCAGCTGTTATCAGGAAGATGCTGCTGCCCGTCGCCTGTTTTAGTTTCCCTCTGTAGCCCACGGGACGATATGGAGTAGTGGGTTTTCGTTCACCACCACTAAACGGTTAAACCAACATAATATTGCAATAATGAATAACTTTCGCCATTAATATACAATTTATTTAAAACTTGACAACAGTGCAACCTATAAGGTCCTAGTATAACTATGAACCATTGTAACAACAAAGTAAATTGTTTAAATGTAATCTCAATAAGTCAAGTTGTCCAGAAATTAAACACAATTTACCTGTATATTTAAAGAGGCTATTAGCTCCTGCACCTGTTTCTCTCTAACAGTTTTATGATCAATTGCCCAATTGGACACATCCTTGAGATTGAATGTCCTTGTAATAATGACATTCCGTTTCCCAGGTTGTTGGTACAGTTCTATCTCTATAGTTGATTCTTCACAGCCACTTCTAACATATTCTGATATCTAGGAAATATAATAAATTATACTGTTATCTATACAAATAAATAAAATTGAAGTGTCTGTCTGTTTGTTCCGGCTAATCTCCGAAACGGCTGGACCGATTTTGACGGGACTTTCACTGGCAGATAGCTGATGTCGTAAGGAGTAACTTAGGCTACTTTCAATTTAGAAAAATAATTAGGGTTCCTCACAAAAAATTAAAAACCTAAATTACACGCGGGTGAAGTCGCGGGGAACAGCTAGTATAATATATAACTATATTATAGTGACGATGTAAGACGACGGAATTATCATACTAACTAGATAAATGAAACAGGAGATGGGCAGCAGCATTTTTCTAAAAACAACTAAATTTTTTTTATATTTTGGTTTTTAGAAAAATACTAGTAATGCTATTAAACATTACTAATATTTCCTTTAACCACTTCTGGTAAGCTTAAAATGCTTGTGTTAGAAGTGGGTTCATGACAATGGTCGAATGGCGAATTCGAACCCATGACCTTTTGAGTTTGTGGTCCGCGCCCTGCTATTAGGCTACTGACGCTTAAAATTTTTATTATTTTAAAATTACAATGAGGTTACCAAGCATGGCAAATATTACCCTATGAAGCAATCTACTGGGGCTTGTATTTCATTAGATTTAACTTATACTTTTGAATACAATAAACTGTTTTTAATAATGATTTAGAGCCACTTTTATTAGTGGGAAGTTTTTTTTTATTTACAAAATGTGTACAGAAATTTCAAACATTAAACTAATTCTCATTTCTGTTTCTTATGTTAGGTGGTATTGTTTGTGGGAAATATAGGGAAAAACATCGTGACTTTGTATATTGAACTAGTCACTAGCTCCCAAGTGACTAGTTCAATGTACAAAATCACTACACTTTTTTTAAATGTATTATCAGGAATATATTGTTGCCCATCTCCTGATTTTTTCCCTCTGACATCTCTGAAGACACCCATGGGTCAATATGTGGTAGTAGATATATTTACAACTCCTTTGGCATGACTCTAACAAGTATTGGTGTCTGTATTAGTACATAGTACTTCAATGCATACATACATGATTATCTACCAAATAGTAATTCTTTCCTAAGCTAACTTTTTTCAAACTCGCATGTAATTTATATTAAAGAAAGACATAGAAAGCTATAAATATAATTTACTTTTACATTTATTTACTAACCTTTTTAGCCCGTCCTATAACACTAGTTTTCCCACAAAGGCCCAAAATGATAGCGCACACAAAAGTCGATTTACCAGTTCCATTTGGTCCTATAATCAAATTTAATGATTGACTGGGAAACAACTCGACTTGTTTGTAAGTTCTGTAAAAGATAAATCAGTGAAAACATCAAACAATACAAAAAGCATTTGGCGCGTAAAAACGTAATATACTAACACAAAGTTTTCAAGAGCTACTCTATAAATAGACCCTGCTTTTACACCTTCCTTGTTAATTACTTTAGACATTATTATTGACGATTTTGTGTAATAAAAACATACATGACTTTATGTAATAATGTTTATAATAAAATCATTTTTCAATATTTATTGAGGACACTATTTATTGCTATAACAAAACTGACACTGACAACTGATTGTTGTTGTTGATGTTTTTATTATTTGCTCGAGAGAGCAGGCAAAGGAACTAAGCCATACAGCCTTGTCTTTTTTATTTTGAATATATAGAATTTTAAAGTGTAAAGGCCGGAACCAGGTCTTATTTTTCTTCTTTCCATCTCTTCAAAATCCATAGAGGCCGAAGTTAAGTCTTATTTTCTTTAACTCTTCATATTTTCAAAAACCCGTAAAGGCTAAAGCCAAGTCTTCTTTATATTATATTCTTTGTAGGTTTCAATCCGTGTAGATTTGTCAATCCAATAACTGACAACTGACAAGTGACAACTGCCTTCCTGTTTAAGACAGTTACTAAACTCACTGACTTAAGGCCGATTTATATTATCTTAGTGTTTAGGAGAGTGCTTTAGGATAGTACTTTAGTTGAAACATATAAACGCTACTTGCTTTAGTACGGTTCTACTTGACTTTCAAGTTGAATCAAAATAGAATCGCTTTTTATTTTTCTTTTAAGTGATCCCCTCCCGCGCCCGCGCAACCCCCAGCGCGTCACTCAGCACTTTGAATTTGGAAGATAGATAATGTAAATCGGCCTTTAGAAGTATATGGACTGGGCATACCAAAAGAATTAGGTAGCATGACTACCTAAACAAAAATTGCGCATAAAATGGCCGCCTTCTATATGGTTGTAACTCAGCAATATGGGCAGCTGAAATCGATTTTTTTACTAATATGAGTTTGTTCTTATTTCATATAATTATAGAAATTTAATCCATAGTCTACTTGCGTAACACACCTAAAATGGCAAACCATACTAATTTGACAGTTTAACAACATCCATTGCATGGTTTTTGTTGTCGAGCAAACGAATTTTTCAATCACATGAAGCAATGGATATTGTTGGGTTGTTAAATTTGTTTTGGATTGCTATCCCTTAAATTTCCCTTGAGCTGCTTCACGAGACTTCACCGCATATGTACACTTACGCAACGCACACTCTGCTAAAGATTTTTTGTGTTGGGTACACAGTCAAACAATGAGTTAAGTATGCAGGTAGCTAACTTGCAACTTGTTTTAAACAATGTTCTGAGTATGCTAAGTGCTTACTCAAGTTTTGAAGTTATACTTCGTTTGGCGAATTTGAGAAAAATGATGATAGTGAATTTTTTACAATTTCAATTGGTAATTGTCTGTCAATTGTTAAGTTTTCCTGAGAACTGATAACTATATTCGAGGTAGTTATTCAAATATATATGAATGTATAAAACGTGTTTTATTTTAGTCATTTTTGTTTGGTTACGCTAAAGAAGTATAACTTCTTACGTGCGTACATAAGTACACAAACACGTTTTGTTTTATATGAATGTGAACAAAGTTAAAAAGTTATAACGCACACAATAAAAATTAATATTGACAGAGTAGTGGGAATATGAATATTTTTGCTTGTATTGTACTGTACAATAATATTGTACAGTAAACAAATGTATGGAGATGGGATGAAGATCCTTGATTCCATATTGTAATCCCATATTATAGTATTTTTAATATAAAATAATAATGATTAGTTGAGTAAAAATTAAATATTCTGTTTTTAAAACCAAAACTTATTTATTATTAATTTGTATATATGAACGTTCTACACATAATTGCTCACAAACGGTAAGTTATATAAGCATGTTCGGTCCTGTCGGATATCATATTTAATTTTTTTTATTCAGATTTTAAATGAAAAATATTATTATTATCGGAGGTACATTAATTTTGTTCATTTAAAATTCGAAAATCTGGCATGATCATGAAACGGTGGATGAAATATGATATCCAGGATATATAAACTATTATTATTATTATATATTCATTTCTGAACAAAATTAATTTATTAAAATAATTTCTATCGACACCATGATAAGAGTGTACGACACTACGACTTTTAACAGTGGTAGAGCCACGCGGCAGCTTTTGCTGTCGCACGGATGGTCCGGCTCGATCCCGGGTGGTACCACGACCTCACAAAATACCAGCGTGAAGTAGCGGTTTACCTCTGCGTTTCGCTTGGTGAGTGCAGGTGGCCGGAGGCCCTTTTTACTGAAAATGAGGCATTCCATCTTTGTCCTCACGGGTGACAACGCATCTGCATTTTGATTTGTAATAGAGGATAGATGTAGATGTCTATGGGCCGCAGCAACCACTTACCATCAGGTGGACTGTGTGCTCGTTTGTCACCCTTATCCTATAAAAAAAAAACTATTTCACTTCTTTTTTGACAGTTTGACATCAGATCTACCTCAAAACTTGGCGCTTAACATGGCGGCGCAGTCACGTAAGGATGAGCTAATAACGCACACGAAAGTTTTACTAAAATAAGCACTTTACAAACTGTAAATGTCCCTTTTTTCTATTGCAGCTACTGCTTTGTTAAAAAGAGACAAAATTGTTTTTGACAAGTGTGTGTCGATATTATAGATATTTGTATAACTATTATTTCTATAGTGGAATATGCCCTCTCCATAGGTATATATCTCTATTACTATACTCTTTGACTGCCACTGACAAGTGACAAGCTGACAAGCATAGTTAAATAAATATGTAGCAAGCTAAGCTACTTATCTATACAAATAAATAAAATTGAAGTGTCTGTTTGTAATGTTAAAATAACAGCCTTTTACTAAATGCACATGAAATTATATACGGTTCTAATAAAAAAAACAAATTTTAAAATTTTTGTCTGTCTGTCTGTTTGTTCCAGCTAATCTCCGAAATGGCTAAACCGATTTTAACGGGACTTTCACTGGCAGATAGCTGATGTTATTAGGAGTAACTTAGGATACTTTTATTTTAGAAAAATAATTAGGGTTCCGCGAAAAAAATTAAAACCCATGAAATCATAGTAAATTCCACGCTGGCGAAGTCGCGAGGGACAGCTAGTTTATTTATAAAGTTAAGCCGAGAAAGTAAAAACATATTTTATTTTGAATAAAATTATTTTTACGGATTTTATCGCGTTTAATTAACTTATTTTATATTCCCGACGTTTCGGTTGCTTTTCAGCAACCGTGGTCACGAAGGACTGAGGTGATTGACGTCCCGATGTCAGAGTTAAACCGGAGTACCTTCAGCTTTTTTAACTAATAATTTTGGTCCGATCTATATTTATATTTTATTTTTAGTAATTTAGCTTCATTTTCAGGTAATAATACGACGTAGCACGATGTCGGAAAATATAAAGTCCATAATATATCTTTCAATCAGAAAAAACTCATCACCTTTCCCCAGGAGAGAGCCTGGTTTTGGAGCTAAGTACTCGCGTAGCACGCGTTCAATTCTCACTAACACCAATTAGATTACTTATTGCGATTTGTGTTCGGTGGTGAAGGAAGCATCGTGAGGAGGAAATATTCATGTCTAGAAAATTAAAAAATAATAATTGAAAGACATATAAAAACCTCAAAAACTCATTGTTAACAAACTTAACTTCAACTCGTGCCAAAAAATGTTATACATTATTTTTTTTATATAGGAGAGGGGGCAAACGAGCTTGCGGCTCACCTGATAGTAAGTGACTAGCGCCGCCCATGAACAACCGCAACACCAGGGAGGGAATTGCAGATGCTTTGCCGGCCTTTTAAAAAGGAGTGGGCTCTTTTCTTGAAGGTCCCTAAGTCGTATCGGTCCGGAAAAATCGCTGATGGTAATCGATTCCACAAGGAAGTTGTGCGAGGAAGAAAACATCTTCTAAATCGCACAGTGGTGGACCGTCAATCTTCCAGATTATGTGTATGGTATCGAGAGTTCTGCCGCGATCTGCGTTCGTGAAATTTAGCGGCTAGGATTAATCCGAACAATTCCTCAGAGCACTCCCCATGGTAGATGCGAAAGAAAATGCAAAGGGATGCAACATCTCTTCGCAGTGCCAATGAATCGAATCGATCTGAAAGGACTTGGTCGTCGACGATTCGAGCCGCTCTGCGCTGAATGCGGTCAAGTGGAAGGAGCTGGCACTGGGGAGCCCCTGCCCAGTGATGGGAACAGTATTCCATATGAGGCCAAACCTGTGCCTTGTAAAGTTGCAGACGATGTGCCGGCATGAAATACTGTCCCGCTCTGATGAGCACGCCTAGCTTCTTAGAGGCCAATTTGGCCTTCTCTTCCAAGTGACCACGAAACTGCACGTCACTTGATATGTCGACTCCGAGGATTTCGATACTGGCTGAGGCAAGAAGGAGAGTGCCTTGAAACTGAGGAGATACGATAAAGGGGTTCTTTTAGCAGTAAACGCGCAAACTTGTGTCTTCTGAGGATTAAACTGGACTAGATTTAGTCGCCCCCAATCCGATACTTTGTTCAGCAAAGACTCGACTTCAGACACAAGTTTGTTCCGGTACTCGGCGACGTTTTCCCGAGAAATATTGGCACGGCCGGTGTATGAAGCATCACCAGTGCTGTCGTCCGCATAGCAATGAATGTTACCAGTTAGCAACATATCATTGATATGCAGAAGAAACAGTGTTGGTGATAGCACACAGCCTTGTGGAACACCAGCGTTAATAGGCTTGTAGTTGGAGCATGCACCGTCTACAACGACTTTGATGCTCCGATCTGCAAGGAAGCTGGTGAAACAATTGCACAATTTCTCGGGAAGCCCATAGGAAGGGAGCTTCGAAAGAAGCGCTTTGTACCAAACCCGATTGAAGGCCTTCGCAATGTCCAAACTAACGGCCAACGCCTCCCCCTTGGACTCTACTGCCTCCGTCCATCTATGTGTTCTTTGTCTATGTTTTTTCCTTTGGAATTTTTCGATAAAATAGGCTTTACAGCAATTATAAAATATTACAAACTTTGCATCTTCCTTTAAAATTATTTTGAGTGTCAGTTGAGTAAGGTTTAATTTTCCGTGCAGGTCTATGTTTTTTAATTATTCCGTGGTCGTCATAAGTATAAGTAAAATGACATAACTTAAATGAGATAAAACTATAGTTGCGATACTATATAATCATTAAAATATAGAACAAAT